TTGACCGGAATCGAACCTGGGACCCTTCAGTCCGCAGGCCGACGCTCTATCCACTGAGCCAAACCGGTTTCGGCAACATTAAACATTTTAAAGTGAACAAGTCAGTGACATTTAGCAACCACCACGTCTATCTAGTTTCAAAACACTTATTCCAAAATAAAACCCTGTATCCATTACTCCCCATTCTTTCCTTCCCCCAGTCCCTGGCAACCACCAATCTGCTTTCTGTCTCTATGGATTTGCCTATCTGTGTGTGTGTGTGTGTGTGTGTGTGTGTGTGTGTGTGTGTGTGTGAGATTGCGCGTGCGCGCACCACGTTTTATTCATTGATTCATTTATTTGAGTTATTTCTACTTTTTGGCTATCTACTAATCCTATGCTCCTATATAATAAAGAGGCAATATGTAAATTGACCATCATACCCTCACAAGATGGCTGCCTATGACCAGGCTGGCAGGGGGTTAGTGAGGGACAACTAAACAACTGAACAAGCAGGTTGTGTGGGGCGACCAGGCCAGCAGGGGGGTCAGTTGGGGGTGATTAGGCTGGCAGGAGGGCAGTGAAGGGGCAATCAGGCCAGCAGGCATAGGCAGTTAGGGGTGATCAGGCTTGTAGGGGGGCAGGTAGGGGTGACCAGGACAGCAGGCAGGTGAGCAGTTAGGCGCCAGTGGTCCAGATTTGTGAGAGGGATGTCCGACTGCTGGTATGGCTAATATGCAAAGTGTCCCCTCGGGAGTTTGACCAAGAGACCGGAGTTTGATCCTTCGCTATGACCTGTGCTGACCACCAGGGGTTGGCACGGAACGAAGGAAGGCCCCAGCCGGCAGCTTGAAAGCCCTGATTGACTCTGATCACCAGCCAGGCCTAGGGACCCTACCTATGTACGAATTCAGTGCACTGGGTCTCTAATTGTGAATGTTCCCATGAACATTTGTGTGTGTAAGTGTTTGAGTACCTGTTTTCAATTCTTTGGGGTTTTCTGTTATGAGAGGAATTGCTAGATCATATGGTAATTTTATGTTTAACGTTTTAAAGAGCCACCAAACTGTTTTCCGCAGCGCCTGAACTATTTTACATTCCTGCCAGCAGTGTATTCGGGTTCTAATTTCTCTATATCCTCTCAGTGCTTGTTATTTTTAAAATTATAGCCATTCTAGTGGGTGTGAAGTGGAATCTCATGGTGGTTTTACTTTGCACTTCCCTAGTGCCTAATGATGTTGCATCTTTTCATGTGCCTGTTTGCTGTCTATATGTTTCCTTTGGATAAATGAGGTTTGTTGTTGAGCTGTATGGGTTCTGTACATATTTTGGATATTTTACCCTTATCAGGTAGATGACTTGCAAATATTTCCTCCCACTCTGTAGGTAATCTTTTCACATTCTTAATAATGTTCCTTGATGCACAGAAATTTTTAATTTTGATGAAGTTCTGTTTATCTAACAAAGGAGAAATCCTTTGTTGCTCATGCTTGTGGTGTCATGTCTGAGATGAATTAAAAATCATGAAGGTTTATCCCCATTTTATAGTTTTAGCTCTTATATTTAAGTTGTTGGCCCTTTTTGTATATTATGAAACAGGAGTCCAGTGAGGGCTCTTAAAAACAAAATTTCAGGCAACTTTTTGGCTACTTCTCGAATCTCTGTCTGGTCCAGCCTTCTCGCCTCCATTCTAGCCTCTACCCAGTCCACAAGGGTGACCCAGAAGACCTACAAGGTGTCCACCTCTGGCCTCGGGCCTTCAGCAGCCACTCAATTCAAGTGGGCCTGGTACCCACATAAGCTTATTGACCTTTTCCAAGGTGGGCGGCAGCTACCGGATTGGCCTGGGTTCCAGCATGAATCTCGCTGGGGATTATGGCGGAGCTGGGAGTATAGAGAGCATCACAGCTCTCCAAGTGAACCAGAGTCTGCTGAGCCCTCTGAAGCTGGAGGTGAACTCCAACATCCAGGCCCGTGTGCAACCAGGAGAAGGAGCAGATCAACAGCCTCAAAAAGTTTGCTTCCTTCAGTGATAAGGTGCGGAGCCTGGAGCAGCAGAATAAGATTCTGAGATCAAGTGCAACCTCCTACAGCAGCAGAAGACGACTCGCAGTAACATGAACATGTTTGAGAACTATCAACAGCCTTCAGCGGCGTTGGCCCAGGAGAAACTGAGTCTAGAGGTGGAGTTTGGTGACGTGCAGGGGCTGGTGGAGGACTTGAAGAATAAGTAGGAGGATGAGATTAGCAAGCACACAGAGATGGAGAATGAATTTGTCTTCATCAGGAAGAATATGGATGTAGCTTACACAAACAAGGTAGAGCTGGAGTCCTGCCTGGAAGGACTGACTGATGAGATCAACTTCAGGCAGCTGTATGAAGGGGAGACTGGCTAGTTGAAGGCCCCGATCTCCGACATGTCTGTGGTACTGTCCATGGGCAACAACCACTCCCTGGACCTATATGGCATCATTGCAGAGGTCAAAGCTCAGTAGGAGGAGATGGCTAATTGCAGCCAATCCGAGGCTGAGACCATGAACTGGATCAAGTGTGAGGAGCTGGGAAGCACAGGCATGACAAAGACTGAGAGAGAATCATTGATTGGCTGCCTCCTGCATACCCCCTACTGGGGATTGAGCCCACAATCCGGGCATGTGCCCTTGACTGGAATTGAACCTGACACCCTTCAGTCTGCAGGCCTACTGGGCCAGAATGGCTAGGGCAAGACTAAGATTCCTGAGATGAACCAGAACATCAGCCAACTCCAGGCTGAGATCGAGGGCCTCAAAAGCCAGAAGACTTCCCTGGAGGCTGCTATCGCTGATGCTGATGCGCATGGGGAGCTAGCTGTCCGGGATGCTCAGGCCAAGGTGGCTGAGCTGGAAGCCACTCAGAACTGGCAGCTGTGTGAGTACCAGGAGGAGCACATGGACGTCAGGCTGGCCCTGGGCATGGAGATTGCCACCTATACCAAGCTGCTGGATGGTGAGAAGAACCAGCTGGAGAGTCGGATTCAGAACCTGAGTGTCCATACCAACACCACCACTCGCTATCAGATGGGCTGAGCCTGGCTTATCGGAACCTCAGCTATGGCCTGGGCTTTCAGCCCAGCTTGGGCACTGGCAGCGGTCCTGGCTCCTTCAGCCGCACCAGCACCAGCTCCTTCAGAATGGTGGTTGTGGAGAAGATTGAGACCCTGATGGGAAGCTGGTGTCTAAGTCATTGGATGTCCTGTCCAAGTGACTGACTACTGTGGCCCTGTCCTCCAAGCCTGTGGAAAAAGCTGTGCAGGGGACAGCCCCTTGGGGTAGGGTAGTTTACTGCCTGGGGGACCGCCTCTTACCCATGCCCCTAACTAAAAGCCAAATCAAGTGGTTTTTTTCCGAAATAAAGTCTCAGCTGGGTCTGCCAACCCTAAAAAAGTGATAATAATAAAATAAAAATTTCATGAAACCTCCACATTGTACTTTTAATATCTCTTGGTTTAAACATATATACATATCAACCAAAAGCCACTGTGGATTTTCTTTTCTTTTGCATTGTATTAATCAGAGCAGAAGTTACATATATTTAAAAAAATAGTACTTGTAAGTATAGCACATTTTCTCAGTCCATAGGCTATATATTGGTGGCTATATATGGATTCATGAATTTACTTCTTGTAACTCTTTGGTCCCCTTAGGCGTGCAGATCACAGATTTTGTAGAGGAGCATCAGAATATCTATGATGACAGGTAGTAAGGGGATTAAGGATGACGAAAAGGGTAAAATTTCCAAGACCTCATAGAATCAGAGACCCCAAAGGGGAGAGAGGAGATGACTGGAAGGTAGGTAACTGGAAGTCAGTGGTGGAATCTGTAAAGGCTACAGAGGAAGTAGTATTTCTTTTAGGCAACAAAGATGACAACAGAGTAGAAGTTAAGTGCTGAGGGTGGACTAGAGTGAAGTGGTAGGTAAGGAATATGGTTTGCGATATTTTAGTCAGATGATATTCAACATACATGCTTCAAGTTTCTGAGCCATGCCCTGTATATGGTTTGCAATAAGGATGGAGGCTCAAAAGACATCATCAGAAAGTGATGGTTTAGGGAGCAGTTGAGGATTCCTTTAGTTTTAGAAATAATGCCAACCCAACTCTACTCCCAAATGAGTGCAGCTAACTTTGTTGAGCATGTGTCCCAGAGAGGGGTAAGGAAGAGGGACTAGGGAAATTCCAGATTTTATTTTAGCTTTGACTAAAATGCTGGTTGGGGGGGCTGTGGGGGCCGGGGAGAGGTCAATGGGGGAAAAAGGAGACATATGTAATACTATATGTAATACTTTAAACAATAAAGAATTTTAAATAAATAATAAATAAAATGCTGGTTAAGTTTGAATTAGTAAACTGAATTCTATATCAATATTTATGTGTCTTGTGTACTTTGCTTTTCACTTCTTAATAAATTTCCTAGTAAAAAATTTCAGTTTTATCTCAGCTGAAAGCATGATGAAAAGAAATATTCTACATTTCATGCAGATGAGAGAATTAGGTTTTCAGTGCACACGTAGGGCCTAGGGTGGCACGTTGTATGGGCCTGTGGCCATCTGATGGAGCAGGAGCTAGGACACAGAAGGGAAGGTGTTGGGACTGTGGTAGCAACCTTGGCTAAGGCGTCTTTCCTTCTGGCCAGCCCTTCACAGCACTCACAAGCTCATCATAGACAATCTCTATTTTTTGTCAGCTCTGTGTCCAGTGGGTTTAGAGAAAGGAATGAAGGAGGGGATGGATGGAACAATGGACAGAATCCGAAGGGAAAGCAGGGGTAATGGCGATTGGTTTAGATGCCCTCCTGCTTTTGCTAGGTGGATGGCCTACCTTTTCAAAGAGAAATGAAAGCTGCCTTTGCCTTGCAAGAAGTGATTTGGAGAGGTATAAACAAAGGGGTCTAAGGTATTTTTACTTTTATGGCGTTTAAACTCTGAATTTGTATGAATGTATCTTTTGAGTTTTTAACCACCCATGTGACCTGTGTGATTTCCAGGTGCTACTGGTGAGCAGTAGTCGCCATCCAGACCGGTGGATTGTCCCTGGAGGAGGCATGGAGCCTGAGGAGGAGCCGAGCGTGGCAGCAGTCCGGGAAGTCTGCGAGGAGGTATGCACTGAGAAAAAAGAGCACGGCGTACCCTGTAATCGCGAACCTATGTGTCTGATAAACATACTGATGATCATAGAAAGAAGGCATTTGACAGTTACCATGTGCCTTCTTGATTAAAGAGGAGATCAGGTTGTGACGTGGTAGTGTTTATCAGGCACCCCTCTACGCAGGAAGGGTTCTCACAGAGTCACTGTATCTAATTATACTAGACAGCCCTCTGATTTCCTGGGGGTCTCTTCCAGTGTGGCAACTCTTACCTGTGGCAGAAGATCAGGAATCAAATAGTTCATCAGCCCTAAGAACTGAGAAGAGCAGGCAGCCTTGGTATACATGGCTCATTCTCATTAGCCTTTGGATGAGGAGGTGGCAGCCCTTTTTCTCCTGTGCTCCCTGGGTCCTGGCTGTTGAGCAGTGGCTAAAGCAACACTTCTGTTAGCCAGAAGCTGTTAATGGTACAGCTCGAGAGATAACAGTATCTTTTTTATTTTTTTTTAGTCAGATGATATTCAACGTACATGCTTCAAGTTTCTGAGCCATGCCTTGTATATCTAACTAGATACTCTAGAATAAGTAGTCAGAAGTAAAGCCTTAGACCAGGGGTGGGCAAACTTTTTGACTCGAGGGCCACCATGGGTTCTTAAACTGGACCGGAGGGCCGGAACAAAAGCATGGATGGAGTGTTTGTGTGAACTAATATACATTCAAAGTAAACATCATTACATAAAAGGGTACGGCCTTTTTTTTTTTTTTTTTTTTTTTTTTTAGTTTTATTCATTTCAAACGGGCCGGATCCGGCCCGCGGGCTGTAGTTTGCCCACGACTGCCTTTGACCCTTACTCCCCTACTTCAAGAGCTTACAGTTAGGTTGTAGAAACTGAGAGATTGCAATTCAAAACCAGGAGGAAGGAACTAATGTTACTCCACAGTTTCTTGTGGCAACACCATCCTCTGCTCTGCTTCTGTTATCTCAGTTAGATTCCTAATTGGTGGTATAAGTTTCATGACCCCCATTTACTTCCCCTCACCACCGTGTTTTAGATCCATTTCCTTGTTCCACAGGGGATGTAATACTGATTCTAAGAACATATAAAATAGCACTTAGAACAGGTCTAAATTCTACACTTCTTTTGCCTTACCCTGAAAGTTACTTCTCTCATCAAGTCTTTGTGATCCCCCCCAGTAGATTTGTTCTTCTTGCGTGTCCATTGCAGTCTGTACTTCCAGCATCATGGTGTCTGTCATCCTTTATTGGTACTGCTTGCTGTCTTCTGTGCTAGACTTGATGCTCTGTGTAATCAGGTACCATTCTCTCTTGCTCACTGTTGAATCCCAGGGCTTAACACAAAGCAAGTGCTTAAGAAAATATAATTTTTTCGCCCTGACTGGTGACTCAGTGGTTAGAGCATTGACCTACTCACCAGAGGGTTTCGGGTTTGATTCTTGGTCAAGGGCACATATCTGAGTTGCAGGTCTGATCCCTACCTCAGGTCAGGGTGTGTGTGAGAGGCAAGCAATTGATATGTCCCTTTCACACTGATGTTTCTCTCTCTCTTTCTCTTCTCTCTCTCTCTCCACTCCTCCCCCCTTCCACTCTCTCTAAAAATGAATGGAAAAAATATCCTCACTCCTTGGGTGAGGATTAAAAAAAGAAAAGAAAATACAATTTTTGTATTTTACAGTTTTACTGTTATTGAAGTGACAACTGGAGCAGCCACATAAATGCACTTTCAGGTTGTTAGGAGGAAGTGTATCTACCAGTCCTTCAGTTAAATGAGGAAGAAAATAACAGTGTCCAGCACCTGCCCAGCCAGGCTGTGTAGAGATGAAAGCATGGGTCACCGTGTACAGGCGGGGCTCGCTCATGGTGGGCGGATGACAGTGGGGATGTCTGTAGCTCAGGCAGCCTGATCACTGCACCCATGGCCCAATCCCTCGCTTCCACTGTGAAGGAGCTGACTTCTTAACCGCATCTCAGTCTCCTGGCTCCTGCTTGCCACTTTTCGTTCTGTATTTTTCCTCCCTGTGCACCACTCATCTGTCAGTTGATTCTGTGTATCTCACTTTCAGTCTTCCCAAGAGAGGATCTGATTGGTGTTGCCTAGTTACAACTGTTGGGCAAAGCTGCCAGGCCACCTCATCAGCTTCTGCCCGTTTTAAAGATGTCTGCCGTACCTTTGCCCAGTTGCTTATTTCTTACTAGAGACCTGGTGCATGAATTTGTGCATGGATGGGGTCTGGGCCGGCCAGGGGGAAGGGCCTCGGACATTGCTGGCCAGCCCCGCCCCCTGGTCAAACTCCCGGTCGAAGGGACAGTTTGCATATTAGCCTTTTATTGTATAGGATTCCTCTAGCTGTGCTGAGAGTGGCAAGTTCATGTGCTATGTAAGCAGAGCAATCTGTGCTTAGGTACTATCTACAGCAGCTTTCCCAGGGGTCCTGTATATGTAGTGAAAAGATATTTGCTATCACAGGAAAATGTTTGTGACCCATTCCCAAGTGACCAAGGCAGGCTACAAAACAGCATTTATGACATGAAACCATATAATGGGGAAGAAATGTGTATGTAACCTTTTGTGTAGAAAGAATAGAAACCCTGCTTATACACTTACTATATGCTAAGCTCTGTTCTCAGCATTTTGCAAATATTGCCTCACTTAATGCTTATCAGACCCTATAAGATAGGAACTGTTTTTACTTACATTTTACAGATGAGAAAAAACTGAGGTTCCATGCAATTAAATGGTTGTCCACACAAATTGTGCCCAGCTATGTGTGCTCAGTGCTTCACGTAAGATCTGCATCTGGAGTATCTGGTCTCGTACCCACACTCCTTCGCTGTGCTCCTCGAAAGAATGTTCACCCACATGTTCACAGTGGTTACCTTTCGGTTCGTTCATAGATTATCAACTTCTGCATTGAACATGTATTTACTCCGTTACCAGAAAAATTATCTGTATGAACAGTTTATCTTCACATTGTCAGGCCTCAGTACCATTAAACTCAAGCTTTTCTAAGCTTTGTTCACCCAGCTGAAGTTTCAGCATAGTGGCTGAACTTCCAAAACAGGTAAATCTGTAGAACTTGAAATATTAGCAATCACATCAAAGACCTAAAATATTCCCTTTTATAAACTGGCCTCCACGTAGTCAGTTGCTTATAGTCAAAATCCTACTATAGTGACCCTCAAAGGGTCAGAGGGGGAGGCTTTGTCCCGGGCCAGGCCGGGGCCTTGGCAGCGTGCATCTGTAGCCCAGGGCAGCAAAGGCTGCAGGAGCCAGCCACGTGGCACTCTCTGTCATAAAAAAGGAAAGCACCTCTTTGTGTGGTTTTCAGAGCTGTTCTTTCTTGCTGGTTCAGTGGGAAAGGTAAAACTGTTGGCTGACAGGGTGAAAAGGGAGAAGCTGGGTCTGCTGTCTTCTGTTCATGGTACATGTCCATTTCTTTTACCCAGTCTCACCTCAGCCAGACCAAGAGCATTATTACAAAAATACAGAACATCTGAAAACTGAAACAGAAGGAGAAAATTATGTGCGTACCTCCAACTGCATTCTCTTCAAGGATGACATTTCCTTGTACCTGGGCAAGGCCATATCCACAGGATCATTTCTAGAATATAAACTATGAGGTATTTGTAGGTAGCCTGATAATTAACCTGAGACATAGGCCTCGCTTAAACAAATAAAAGGTAGCTTGTTCTCTGACTTCCTCACTGTGTCCTAATACCACACTTCTCTACCGCCGCTCTGGCTCTTACCACTTGTTCCTCTGCCATATAAACTCACCATCTTAGAGATTTCTTCAGTTTAGTGATGGGTCCTTACGTTTCCCTGTACTTTGGTGCCCTCCCTCAAGTTGTACATAAAGTAAAAATATCACAGCATTTTTTATGTAATTCACTTTCATTTAAAAAAGTTTTTTGTATGTCTGGATGCCTTAGGAGTTCAGCGCTGCTTTATAATTTTCTCTAACTTTACTAATCCTATGTCAGCCTATCAAGAATTTATTGTAACTCTTTATTTTTTGTTTGTTAATCCTCACTAAGGATATTTTTTCCATTGATTTTTAGAGAGAGTGGAAGGGAGAGGGAGGGGGAAGGGAGGGAGGGAGGGAGAGAGAGAGAGAGAGAGAGAGAAACATTGATGTGAGAGACACAGTGATTGGTTACCTCCTGCATGCACCCTGACTGGGGCCCAGGGATCGATCCTGCAACTGAGGTACATGCCCTGGACCAGAATCAAACTTGTGATCCTTCAGTCCAAGGGCTGATGCTCTAACCACTGAGAAACCAGCCAGGGCTTGTAACCCTTCTTGATCTCCTTTGTATTTTCATCTAAGAACATGGAAAACTCCATAGTGAACTTTATTTTTAAAATCTGTGCTTTTTATCCCAGTTCCTGTACTGTGTGTTCCCTGTTCCTGAAAATAAATGGTTATACTCTTTTATATGTATCATAGCAACCAGAAATCTCCAAAGGGTATCTCAAAATGTCTCTAATTAGGGAAGCAGTTTTTCCTGTCTCTTGTTATACACAAGTAGAATATTTAAAAAGCCTGTGACTACTTGGGAATAGTTTAAGATACAATTTTGTTAACCTTTTTTAGCTCATAAGTGTTTGACTTTATTTGAAATGGAGAAAAAAGTGAAGGCTCTGTATGACTGTGTTATATTTTCAACTTTACAGTCTGAATAGTTGTGAATGGAAGGTGGGGCTAAGGTTTCACAGAATTTATTAGGAAAATAACATGATTTTTTAAAAAATCCAGAACTTTAATCACAAAATATATGTCATAATATATTAAGAGTATTTTCAACCATTTCAACATGATAAAATAGGGGGAAGTAATGTTGTAGACCAGAGGCCTCCAGCTCCTAAGCTTGTAGGGAAGGGCGGGCCGTTGGCAGTGGTGTATCTCTGACAAAGTGAGGAGAGCCTGCCCTGGTCAGATGGAGGTGGAACCTGCTCAGGCTCAGCCAGTCGTTGTCATGTGGCAGTTAA